TCAACCTAACTAAGAGACAGACATCAACACAGCCTGCCCTATCACAAATGGTCCCAGCTAGAAGCAGGCTGGAGAGAGGGGCTTACAACATATCCCAGGGTCAAACACATGGAGCACAGAACAAGTCAGGGGATACTAAATAAATCCTTACCACTAAGCTGGGCATAGTAGCTCATACCTGTCATCTCAAGCACTCAAGACTGAAACAGGAAGATCTTCCTGATAATCCCTGTACTTAGGAGCAGAGGCAGGCGTTTCAAAGCCAGCCGGGCCTCCCTAGGGAGTTCCAGGCCAGCTGGGGCTACAAGGAAACCCTGTCTCAAAAAGACCAAAAAAAAAAAAAAAAACTTGTTTCACCTTGTTTTGCTTTACTTTGGGTAAAGTTTTATTCCTTAAAGGCAGTTAGATCTAATTCTACATTTATAGCTTCTAGCAACATGTTCAGACTTAGCTTTATGTTCTGTCTTGGCAGTAAGAAAGGATGTTCCACTGAGTGGTAAGACAGAGACCTGGCTTCTTTGTTTCTAATTTTGTATTAATTAGTGAATAATAAGATAAAAATCTCAAATCTGCAAAATGTTAGCATAGGCTGTCTAAACTGGTACATGAAAATCTTAAGAGATGATACAACCTAGCTCGCATTCAGAATGAATGATTCAACGAGTATTCAGCCCCTCACTGTCAAGAATTAAGTCTGTTTCCCTCACTGTTCTGGGGTTTGGGCTTTTTTTTTTTTTTTTTTTTTTTTCTTTAATGTGTATGAGTGTTAGGCTTGCATGTGTGTGAGAAGCAGGCATCGGATCCCCTGGAACTAGAGTTACAGACGATTTGCTAGCTGCCATGTGGGTACTAGAGTTCAAACCCAGGTCTTCTACAAGAACAAAAACAGACAGCTCTTAACCACTGAGCCATCTCTCCAGCCCTGGAACCTTCCAGTCTTAAAGGAATTTTAGAAATAGAAAACAAGTAGGCTAGAACTAGATGGCCCAGACTCACTGACCTGATGCCTTTCCATGGTCTCAGTGAGCAAGTGTCAGTGCCTTCACTCTGTGGATTCTGGGGGCGGGGGGTCACACCTGTATGCACTGTTCAGATAGGAGTCTGAAGGGTCTCCCGGGCCACATCCTAGGTGACAGCATATCCTATGTTCTGTTTTTCTTCTCTTCTAGAAGCCTAGCCTTCTGTCAAAGGCCCAGAATACCTGTCAGCTGTATTGCAAAGAACCACCTCGGAGCTTGGAACAGCAACTACAGGAACATAGGTAAGGTGGTCTTGGCCAGTAAAGTCACTTATTTTCATGCCAGCCTGGAGAATGCTTATGTATTATCCTTTTCCATTTGTGGTTGCTTCTGCTAGGAACAGATATTGCATAGTCATAGTCTTTTCAGGCGTGGTGTTGATGAGGCTGTTCCAGCATCCTGGAGTAGGATTCTGTCTGTCAGGCAGCAGCAACCCCACATGTACTTTATTTTCTCATTTCTTTCAGCATTTGTCCAATAGGATATGATCAACCCCAAGCTTTCTGAAGCAGTAGCCTAAATCAATTTAAATGGGTTACACTGATGAGGCTTCCTCTTTTGTGTTACTCATGCCCACTGGCACTGCCAGAAGAAGGAGCTTGGCCAAATAGTTACTGTAATCCTCCTACCTCAGTCACTAGCAGAGGCCAAGATGTTATCTCTGAGTGGGGAGATGGCTCAGTGGTTAAGAGCACTGGCTGCTCTTACAGAGGACCTGGGTTCTGTTTCCAACACCAACATGCAGCTAGCAGTCATCTATAACTCCAGTTCCAGGTTATCCAGTGCCCTCTTCTGACCTCCATGGGCATGCACATGATGTACTTACATGCAAGGAAAACACTCACACACATAAAAATGATTCAGGTTTTTTTTAATTAAAAAAAAAAAAAGATGTTATCTCCTCTTCTGGCCAATCCTCATTAAGAAGTCATCCTCAAGCCAGGCATGGTGGCTCTTGCCTGTAGTCCCAGCACTTGGTAGGTAGAGGCAGGTGGATCTCTGTGAGTTTGAGGCCAGCCTGGTCTACATAGTGAGTTTTGGGCCAGCTGGGGCTATGGGGAAACCCTGTTTCAAAAAGACCAAAAAAAAAAAGAAAAAGTCATCCTCTCTCTAGGAAGAGAACCTTAAGCTTAACTCTGAGGGGTCAGACACACTAGGAGCAAAATGAGATTAGGTTTCAGGAACCCAGGATAATGAATTCCTACTCCCATTTTTCCCCCTCAAATGGGAATAAAAGAAATGGGGGGATATCCAGTATGGGTGATACATACCTGTAATCCTAGCACTCAGAGGATCACAAATTTGAGGCCAGCCCTGACTATACAGTAAGAGTCTGCCTCAGAAATGAAACAGAAGGGGTTAAAGAGATGGCTCACCTGCTCTTACAGAGGACCTGGATTCTGTTCCCAGCACCCATTAACAACTATATGTAATTTCAGTTCCAGGAGATCTGATGCCCTCTTCTGGCCTCCAAAGGCAGTGCATGCATGAGTGCACTTACATACATGCAGACAAAACACTCATACACATATAAAAACAACAATAAAAACAAGAGACTGATCCTGGGCCTGGTGGTGCACACAGAGGCAGGTGGCTCAGAGATCAAGCCAACTAGTCTACATAGCAAGTTCAGGCTAGCTGGGACTACAGGGAGACCCTGTCTCCAAAAATAAAAAAGATTGGGGCGGGGGGCGGGGGTAGTGGGGAAGAGACTGAGGCTAATGCCTGGTATTGGATTTACATTGAAATTACATTCACTTGAGAAGATGTAAAATGTTAATCTTTCGGTGTTGCCAATTTAGGCTCCAACAGAAGCGACTCTTCCTCCAGAAGCAGTCTCAGCTGCAAGCATATTTTAATCAAATGCAGATAGCAGAGAGCTCCTACCCTCAACCAAGTCAACAGCTGGCTCTTCCCCACCAGGAGACTCCACCGCCGTCCCAGCAGCCCCCACCTTTCAGCCTGACCCAGCCCCTGAGCCCAGTACTGGAACCTTCTTCTGAGCAGATGCAATTCAGTTCTTTCCTCAGCCAGTACCAGGAGATGCACTTGCAGACCCTGCCCTCCACGCCCAGCCCCCGGGCTCCACCTCCCTTGCCCTCCCAACTGCAGCAGCAGCCGTCACCCCCACCGCCTCCTCCTCCACAGCAGCCAGGAGCTGCTCCAGCCCCCTTGCAGTTCTCCTATCAGACTTGTGAACTGCCAAGTACCACTTCTGTGTCAGACTATCCCACTGCCTGTCAGTATCCTGTGGATGGAGCCCAGCAAAGCAACCTTACAGGCGTGGACTGTCCCAGGAGCTCAGGACTTCAGGAGGCCCCTTCCAGCTATGACCCGCTGGCCCTCTCTGAGCTCCCTGGACTCTTTGATTGTGAAATGCTAGACGCCGTGGATCCACAACACAATGGGTATGTCCTGGTGAATTAATCTCAGCACAGGAAGTGAGGTGGATCTAGTGAAGGCAGATTGTGTATTTCTATTTTTATTCCAGCCTTTTAAATTTAAAGCTTACTTTCTTGCCATTTCCCTAATGGGGAAAAATCAAGTTTCCCAACTGGAATCAAGGTTTGGCTGGGGTGGATGTTCCTCCTGGCTCTGTCCCACCACAAAGTTTTCTGTGGCAAGGGCTAGAAAATAGTTGGAGGCTGAATCTCATGCCCTTGGGTAAAGTAGAGCAAGTTCTTGAGGGAGGCACTGAAAAAATGCTTATATAAGATGGCAGCATTCAGGCACAAGTTTGACACCAGTTCATTACCAGGGAGAAACTTGGTAAAAGCAGGAAAAAATGTG